GTCTATGTGTACGGAGTGGCAATTATAGCTACGTTAAGAAAATAAACACGTGTTTTGTGTGGGAGTGCTGAGATTTGTGAGTGATCAACATCCCCGGGTGATCAACATCCCGGTCAGCTAGCTTACCAAGCGTAAGCACTCCAAGAGGGAAAAAGAGAAGAGGAAAGCCAGATCCAAGGCAAAGAAGTTTGGACTGTCAGACTCTGCCTCAGATGAGTCTTTGTCTGACACTGAGAACAAAACCGAATCGAGTGATACTGAGTCCGAGAAGAGTCGCAAGAAGCGCAAGGCACCTAAGAAAGACGCGAAGAAGAGCAAAGGAAAGTCAAAGAGAGAGCCTCGCGCCGAATCAGGGCAAGAAGATGCTTCTGACAGCAGTTGAGGGGACATTGGCATCGCTTTGTAACAGCACCGAAGCGTTCTCTTTTGTTTGTTCATTGGATGTACTCGTTTTCCCATTTTTGTTTCCAATATCAATGAGCAACGAAAGATTCTTCACGGTTAAGATTGTCTCTTGGCGGACGGAGTCTATGGAGATAGCCTGTTAGAATACAAAGTCGTTCCTCAAATCAGGCTACTAGAGTGATGAGATGACCACCAGTACTGCTAATACATCAGACCAAGAACCGAAGCATGCTCAGTATTCAACCAGCATAAACATCAGCGGGGTATTGCTAGCGAAGATCCCTGCTAGACAAGCCGAACGTTCAGCTTGACCGATCGACGATAACGCACCCTAAAGGTATTCGCTACACTTCGTCTTTATAAAGCATAGTGTAAAGTTTAGTGAAGACCTTTAGGGTGCACTTTGCTCTCGAGCGGTACGACTCAGGAATGCCGGGCCCCATACTCCCATAAGTCTTCGCTGGCACGAATGCCAACAAGGACATTGGGAGGAGCGACCGGATGTCATCCTTGAGCTATCGACTATAGTATAGCCTAAAGGTATTCATTGCTCATCACAACATCCATCGCAAGCAAACACATCGCAGTAGCAGTCACAACAAGAAGCATGGCAGAGATGTATTTTGTGAAGTCATTTCAATTTCCTTTCCTTTCTCTCCATGTAACTACTTCGGTGAGGTACATAAGAGACATTGACCGCTAGGCATACTTTTGCAGAACATCCATTACGATCGTTTCGTCAGGCATCGTCGTGAAAGTACAAAGAAGACTTTTCCGCGTTCCTGAATACCGGGAACCCATGAAAGATAAGGAACCAAACACACCATGTCTATCGTTAAATGCCGCAATAGATGAAACTCCGTTCGCAGCTCGCAGTCTGGGTATCCTGCACGTGCGCCCTTCCTTCCTTCCTGCACGCCCTCGTGGCGCCGCTAATGTGAGATGCGCTTATCGGGTGGAGAAAGCCTTGGTGACAGTGCGCTTGAGGGCAAGCTCCTTCTTCTTCAGGTCATCAGCGGGGGCGTCCTCAACCTCGAGCTGAGCCATGGCGTCGGAGAGAGCAGACTCGATCTTCTCCTTCTGGCCACGCTTGAGGCGGATAGATGTGGTGGGGTCGGAGATCATCTCCTCAACACGGGAGATGTAAGACTCAAGCTGTTGCCTTGACTCGAACTTCTTGGAGAAGGCCTCGTCGCTAGACTTGAACTTCTGGGCGTCGTTGATCATGTTCTCGATGTCAGCAGATGAGAGCTTTCCGACGGCGTTGGAGATGGTGATGTTGGCGCTGCGGCCAGAGGTCTTCTCAGTAGCGGTGACCTTCAGGATACCGTTGACGTCGACCTCGAAGACGACCTCAAGGACGGCCTCACCAGCGCGCTAAGAAAGAGTTAGTGATGCGTAGCAATGGGAAGGGGGTGAAAACTTGCCATGGGAGGAATAGGTGCGAGGGTGAACTCTCCGAGAGAGGTGTTGTCCTCGCAGTTGACACGCTCACCCTGGAAGACGGGGAACTGAACGGTCTGTTGGTTGTCTTCAATCGAGTTAGCATGATTCCTGTTGAGGGTATCTCAGGGGAACTAACCGGCAACGGTGGTGAAGGTCCTCTTCTTGATAGTGGGGACGGTCTGACCACGGGGAACGACGGGGGCGAAGATGTTACCCTCCATGGCTACACCAAGGGAGAGGGGAACGACATCAAGAAGGAGGAGGTCGGCAGTGTCGGCGGAGGTGGCCTTTCCGGAAAGGATACCGGCCTGGACGGCGGCACCGTAGGCAACGGCCTCATCGGGGTTGATGCTCTTCTCGAGCTTCTTGCCGTTGAAGTAGTCGCTGAGGAGCTTCTGGATCTTGGGGATACGGGTGGAACCACCAACAAGGACGATCTCGTCAACCTTGTCCTTGGCAAGGGCGGCGTCCTTGAGAACCTGGGCAACGGGGTCCAGAGTGCCAGCGAAGGCCTTCTGGTTCAAGTCCTCGAAACGAGCACGGGTAATGTTGGCGTTGAAGTCCTCACCGTCGAACAGCGAGTCGATCTCAACAGTGGTCTGGGTGGCGTTGGAGAGAGTACGCTTGGCACGCTCGCAAGCAGTCCGGAGACGACGAAGGGCACGGGCGTCACCGCTGATGTCCTTGGAAATGTTAGTATTCTGCAAACAACACTATCGCGAATCCTGCGGGGTTCTGTCTCACCTTCTTAGTCTTCTTGGTGAACTCCTTCTTGAAGTGGTCAAGGAGGTTAGTGTCGAAGTCCTGACCACCCAAGTGGGTGTCTCCAGCAGTAGCCTTGACGGTGAAAACACCACCCTGGATGTGCAGAAGAGAGACATCGAAAGTACCACCACCAAGATCGTAGATGAGGACGTTCCTCTCCTTGTCAGACTTTCCGGAACCGAGACCGTAGGCGATAGCGGCGGCGGTGGGCTCGTTGATGATACGGAGAACGTTGAGGCCAGCAATGGCACCGGCGTCCTTGGTGGCTTGACGCTGGTTGTCGTTGAAGTAGGCGGGGACGGTGATGACGGCCTTCTCGACCTTCTTGCCGAGCTTGGTCTCAGCGACCTCCTTCATCTGTTGATTTTGTTAGTCGCTGCCCCGCCATGCGAAATGTGTGCGCAGATCTTACCTTGACGAGAACCATGGCAGAGATCTCCTGGGGAGAGAACTGCTTGGTCTCACCGAGGTACTCAACCTCGACGAGAGGGCTGCCGCCCTGGTCAACGACCTTGAATGGCCATGACTTGATGTCCTTTGTGACGGTCTCGTCCTCGAATCGGCGACCAATGAGACGCCTACGAAGTCAGCCTGCTGGTCGTGCGCGTGCGAAAAAAAAAGATGCGAAGACACTCACTTGACATCGAAGACGGTGTTCTCGGGGTTCATAGCAGCCTGGTTCTTGGCCGCCTCACCGATCAAACGCTCCTCGCTGGTGAAGGACACGAACGAGGGAGTGGTGAAGCTACCCTGCTCGTTGGCGACTGTGGGCAAACATTGTTAGACATTGATCTTCTCGCAATGGAACTGGCGGGCGCATACTGATCTCGACATTGGTGCCCTCGTAGTTGGCAACGCAAGAGTAGGTGGTGCCTGCGATATTGTTAGCCCACAACACATCCCACTGTGGGGTAATTCGCGAATATTACGCACCAAGATCGATGCCGATGGCACCCTCGTAGACTTCGTCGCTCATGATTGCGGTATGTGTAGAAGGAACAACCTGAAAAAATTGAAGAGCAGGAAGGTGTTGGAGAGAAGGTGAAAAAGAGGGTTGGGAATCTTTTTCGCGCTTGCTTAAAGGCGAGCGATCAGAGAAAAATTGGCCTGGCAGGGATCTCTCGTAGTGTCGGCGAATGACGCTAGGCAGACTCGGTTAACCAACCCAACGCGGCGCTTATCGATACTGAATGAAAAAGTGCGCCCACCAATATTATCGTCAGGCCTCGGCCCGCTGAGTGAGAAAAGAAAGACCAGACCGTATATTCAGAGAAGGTGCCCCGCAGCCAAGATCTGGTAGGTCCTGGGAGAGTTTGGAGACCGAGTTGTGTCTATCGCAGGATGTTACACTCCTCTGCCTAAGAAACATGTGTCGGTATATGTCCGGCGTGCTGAACAAAATATTCCGGAGCATGCAGTACTACGGCAGTCGTCCGGCAGAGCGACTCTCGCCATCCAGCCGCAGTATCGGCATCGAATCTTTGCCATGGTTCTGCCCTTGAGAAAAGTTCCATGGACCCTGGAATCAACATGGTTTCCATCTTCGCAGTAGATTACAACTGAGACCACCCTGGTATTCTCACTTCGGTATGCGCCTAGAAGAAGTAAGATCAGGTCTCAGCGCCGGCACACTAGTCTGTACGTTCCAAGAGTACCAAGTACAATCCTCGATATCGGTGTTCTTATCTATCCTTGGAGCCTAGGTCCGCGAGGCCGAGAAGCTGATACTCTTTACTATAGCTCTCATCTTGTACTGGAGAAAAACTGGCCAATAAGAAATGTGCAATATGAAGCAAGGCGGCGAAACTGGCCACTTTGAGTGTGATAGCCTGACTGTCCAAGGGTGTTACTGGATACATCACCATAGGTATGCAGGAGACTGCATTGTCCACACCATTGTAGCCAACGGAGAGTTATATCGACGACTGACGCATCTATATACAAGATTTAAGTATACAGCGAACCAAGAAATTGCTCCTACCCTTCCTTCCGCATAAAAGATCGCTGAGCATACAAATTAAGACATGCTAGCCTTACTTTCTCCAGACGAGACCATGTTGTTGCCAAAGGCCGCTGCTGCCACAACCCCCTCCTCGACCCTGTTGAGGGCGACCTCGACCTCACACCTGAGCAACTTGGAGAAATCGAAATCGCAACGAGGGCCAAGGATAGGTCTTACGCCAAAGCATACGGTCAAGAAAAGAGAGCGAACCCTACAGCAAAGTGGAAGGCTATGCAAAAGGCCAAAAACGCAAAAGCCTATCCCCAGACACGCGCCAACCAACTTAAGGCGATAGCAGAAAAGACGTACTACTGCTCTGTCTGTGACGTCGCTTCCACCGACGCTGCTGCACAGAAGATCCACAATGCCACCCCTCGACATATCCGGTGGTCAACGAAAGGACGTGGCTCTTGGTGCGAACCCTGCGGAAAAGGTTTCAGAAACCCTTCTGACCTTGCCGCCCATGAGAAACGACCTTGTCACATCGAGAAAGTGATCAAGTCTCAGACCATTGTAGCCAACTAGAGAGATCTGTATTGACGAGTAACGCGTCTTTGGCGCATCTATGTACAAAGCATGGGTATACAGCGAACATTGTATAAGAGAGGTCGTATCTGCTGCTCTCTTTACACCCACAATCAACAACACTTCCAACACGACATCCAGTCACGATACAACACTTTTGGCGTCACCCCAGGAGGCCTAAAGTAGTAGCTGGGCACCTACAGACACGTGGGGTGATGAGGTTGGAAACAAGGAGCTGCAATGTAATCATCCTACCTCGAACCAAGAAGTTGCTTCTAGGGTTATGAATCCTTCCAATCTACTCAAGCCGCGCCCAAAGCTTGCAGCGCCGCTCTCAACTCCTTCACAGCCGTGGTGGAGTCCTCAAAATTCAACGCTGAGATAGCCCACTTCGCATGCTTTGTGGCTGCCATGATGGAATCTTCATCGTCTCTGAACGGACCCTGCGATGACAGCTGCTGCTGTGGAGGAGGTCCTGGTGCTTGGGCGTACGGATTCTGGTGAGATGTCGACGAGTATTGTTGCTGAGGAGGCTGCGAGGAAACGTTTTGTTGTTGGTACTGTTGCTGAGACACCACGGGCGACGTAAAAACGTTTTGAGATTGTTGTGGAGTGACTGTGAAGCTTGAGGATAGTCTCTGTGGCTTCTGAGGCACTTGGGGTGGTGGAGGTGATTGGTATGGGTTTTGAGGTGGTTGCTCGGGGGCTTGGGGTGGAGGAGACGTAGGGTTCTGGTAGAAGCTTGCAGGGTCTGACGCGTCTGGAACTTGTGGTGCAGGGCTGTTTGGTAGGGAAGATGTCATAGGGTCGATGTCCATGGGCGCGGTAGGTAGCCCGGGCGCTGTCGTTTCTGATGTGAAGGTAGGAGGGTCGGTCTTTGGAAAGTATCCGCCGCCGATTGAGACGACGGAGCCCTGCCTCGAGGTTGCTGATTGTGACATGGGCGAGACATCGTTGTGCGATGATTGGTTGTAGCCCGTGGGCGCGGAAGGGAGATTGGGAGCTGGCGGCGACACTTGGCGCGCAGACAGACTGGGCGATGGCTGGGTAGTATTGGGCACCGTCTCGACGTATGGTTGGTATGGGTTCTCTGGTGGCGCGCCTTGGTTTATGCTTCGTACTTCCGGGTCATTTGGATCTAGCGCAGACGGCGACATGGCCTGTTGTGGTGCTTCTTGTCTGGGATTCGTCGCGTTCGGGTCTTCGTTGGCCTTGATGGCCTTGACGATGCGCAGCGCATGGTATTTGGCGAACTTGGTCTTGGAAGTGATTTCGGGGTCGTTGTTCTTCCATACAGACATGACCTCGAGGAATGTCGATGCCGCGAGGAGGGTATCAGCGGTCTGCCTGCAAATGGTATTAGAAGTGAGAATCGGCAATGGAACTACGTGTTTGCTACGCACCCATTGACCCTGTTCTCGGCCATCTCCCTCTCTGCCTTGGCGAGAGTTTGTAGAGCGAACTGTTCACAGTATGCGCTCGCAACCGTGTCATCCAGCAAAGCATCCTCGTTCGGGTTCTCGGCCTTTGCTTGCTCCAGCTTCTCCATGAGATCGGTCGTGTAGGCGGTACATTCCTGATCAGCCGAGTGGAGTCCACCGGCGATGATTCGTTGGACTATGTAGAAGCGCACTGTGCAGCTTTAGTATACGTCTCTTGTATTGGCAGGCGCGAGGGTACTCACACCAGTAGGTGATGATGGGCTTGAACTTCTCAAGCTGAGCGGCGCGCTTCGCAAAGGACGCGAGCTGCAAGCTCCTGAGCTTTGCCGGTACTGTGTCGGCCATTGCTGTGGTATCTTGTGTGTGCTAAGACGCGTATCGCATGTGGTGTTTAGTCTGTGGATAGACGCAGTAAGGTGCAGGCAGCTACAGCGGGCATGCGGTCATAGGCGCTAGTCCGGACTGATCCCTGTCTCCCCGCATCTCAGCTTTGGCCATGTAACTTATGGCAAGCTGTTACAAGTGAGTGAAAAGGCCAACCTGGCAACTACGCCATGTAAGGCTATATCCACTGCAGCAGCTGCACCTCTGCTTATTCTCCACTTCACCCACAACACACACCAACCATGGTTCGCGCAACCACGCTGTTTGCCGCTACGGCCGCGCTGGCCCTCAATGCCCACGCCGAGAGCATGTACTCCAAGAACAGCGCCGTCGTTCAGATCACTGGCATGGACTATGACAGAGTAATTGCAAAGTCCAACTACACGTCCATTGTCGAGTAAGCCGTCCTCGTTTGTCATCATCCCCTCTCCTCACACCTCTCAGATTCTACGCGCCATGGTGCGGCCACTGCAAGAACCTTAAGCCCGCGTACGAGACGGCCGCCAAATCCCTCGCCGGCATCGCCAAAGTCGCCGCCGTCAACTGCGATGAAGAGATGAACAAACCCTTCTGCGGGAAGATGGGCGTTCAGGGCTTCCCTACCCTCAAGATTGTTCGACCCGGCAAGAAGCCCGGAAAGCCTACGGTGGAGGACTACCAAGGACCTCGTTCGGCCAAGGGTATCGTGGACGCTGTCAAGGACAAGGTCCCCAATATCGTGAAGAGGGTAAACGACAAGAACCTCGACGAGTGGCTACAAGGAAACAAGGACACTGCCAAGGCCATTCTGTTCAGTGAGAAGGGCATCGTCAGCGCCACACTGCGCGCTCTAGCGATTGACTTCGCTGGAGTCGTTTCGGTTGCGCAAATCAAAAAGTCAGAAAAGGCGGCAGTGGAAAAGTATGGAATCACCGACTTCCCAAGCTTGGTCTTGATTCCCGCGGGCTCCGACACACCCATCAAGCACCAAGGCAAGGCTGACAAAGCAGCAATGGTCGAATTCCTCTCTCAGGTCGCCCCACCTAACCCCGATTGCCCACCTGCCAAGGAGAAGAAGTCCAAAGCTAAGAAGGATACCAAGAAAGAGTCCAAGTCCTCCAGCAAGTTTGCAAAGGCCTCAGCTTCACACAAGTCCGCAGATTCATCTTCAGCCGCCGCCTCAGCCACAGACGAGACTGTCGAGGAGCCGGTTGTGCCCACTGAGTCGCCTGATCCGAACGTCAAGGATGGAGATACACCCAACCCGATCGAAATTCCGGTCGAAGAGGCCAAGCCGACTATACCTCTGGTTGCAGAAGCTGCCGAGCTTCAATCAATGTGCTTGACCGAGCAGAGCAAGACCTGTATCCTGGCACTACTGCCGAAGGACGAGTCGTCCGACACAGCAACCACCGCCATTGCATCCCTTGCATCGATTCACAAGAAGTACGATGCTTCTGGCAGCCATCTCTTTCCTTTTGTAGCTGTATCCTCCACAAACCCACTTGCTGCATCCCTGACCACAGAACTCGGCCTGGGAAGTGCAGACGAGGTCCACCTCATTGCCACCAATGGCAAGCGCGCATGGTACAAGAAGTACTCCGGCAGCTCTTTCGGAGCTGACGCAGTCGAACAATGGGTCGATGCTATCCGCATGGGTGAAGGCAAAAAGGAGAAGCTAGCCGACTCCCTCCTGGTTGCCAGTGAGAAGCCGAGTTCCAAGGAAGAAACACCTGGTCATAATGAGCTCTAGTGGTGGGCGGCGAGCTCACAGTAGGTGCAGTTTCAAGTAGACGTGTATACCAATTGATTTTCGTGTTCTATTGAACAAGCACTCAGACTACTACATCACTGCTCCACGCGTGAAACACTCAATTACTGACGAAATGTCGTCACCTCGATTTGCTCTTCCGTCACATTCTGCGCGCTGACGCGATGAGGTCGACCTCAGCCGTCCGGATGACATACCGAACACGACCCTCTCTGTTAATTTTCGGGTGCAAGACGAGGTAGATGCAAGCGTATGTGTCAGCCTCTATCGGTTTCTGGGGGGCTTTATGAGATGCATACAAGCTCCTGTATCGGTCTTTGTTAGTTTCCGGATTATTGATGTATGCATTTTGAGTATGCGTACTGACCACGTTTCGGCTATTTGCACATCCCTGTATATTGTTAAGAAGAATAGAATGACCTGATAATATATGAGGCACGCCCGATCGAGAGGGGGACCGATGGTGGGCGTTCGCTCCTACCCTTTCACTGGAAGCGGGCAGGTGCACGTGCCCTGCTCTTATACCTTGCGCTTACTTGCTGCGTATATGCCAACTTCGAGCACGACTGCACCTACATCGGATATCGCTCAACCATGGTATCATTCTTGCTGATCGCCCTGAGCTTAGTGCATCCGGCAACAGCATGCCAACGAGAACTCCGCAGCCTCAAAACCGGCCAGCTATCACATCAACATCCTCTAGTGCTTCGCCAGGCAGTTGCTTTCCCTCCGGTACGGAACAAGAATGAGGATATCCTACATGAATCCTTCTCAGCAACCTCCATCGACGATTAGTCCTCTTATTATACCCATGGCGATCATGTCGCTGGACGCAACAGGTCCATGGCAGAAGTCACTGCAAAATAGTGGACCAAGAACGGAGTATCCGGTTCACTGGTCGAGTATGAAGTTTTTCTCAGCTATCCGAAAGAGCAGAAGCTTGTCCTGAGATCGAGGAATCGCACGTTGCATGAGGCCCAGATGTACGAGGATGCTTTATCAGAAGACGACACAACAAGCTCTCCTCAAGCGTTGCCGGCATTCCATGGATACTCTGCTTCGGGAAAAGTGGAAGCAGAGTATGTTTATGTTGGGTGAGTGGCTTGTGTACCAGTTCTGCGGATATCAGCTAATGTACAACAGCCGTGGCCACAAAGACGACTTCGCTGCACTCACAGTATTGAATGTCGATCTGAAAGGAAAAATCGCTCTCGCGAACTACGGAGGTCCTTTCCGTGGTGTAAAGGTTCTCAATGCCGAGGCGCATGGCATGGTCGGAGTGATCATGTTCAGTGATCCCAGAGTTGCTATCAGTCAATCAGTCAGTTGTCAGTTCATCTTTGCGGTTCAAACTGTCAGTCTGGAGGTAGTGAACTGACCTGATTGACTGCCAAGACATTTTTTAGAATCGCGAACTGAGACT